TTTGTTTTTACTCTTGAGGTCGTTTGAGGATCTGTTCCTCAGGGGTCCCATGGGCTTGGGAGGAGCCCCTGGCTCCTTTCTTTTACCAGTTCCATCTATCAAAGGTCCTGCTCGGCCATTGTTGGCTTCTCTTGGAAGCATAGAGAAAATGATTCCTCCGTGTTGACCCTCCTCTTCATAGACTGGACACTGGTTCAAGTCCATCTGGTAGGGTCTCCTTGGCCTCCTTGATCAAGAGGTCAGACGACCCACCACCTTTGCAGGACGTTTTGCGAGATGCTCGTAGTCCCTGGGAACTAATCGACCTAGCACTTTTTCTTTTATACTTTGGTGAGCTCTCTGAAGGCAGGGATACTTTATTATTTTTGAACATTTATGGCTTGTTTATTTTAATTCAGGCTAAAGTTTGAAAATAGGAACAAACAGTATGAATGACGAAGGAACACTGAGGAAGGCAGGAACAACCTTCCTCCAATCATCGTGAAGAAAAACTTCCCAGGAGTAGTATCTGAAATGGGTCTACAGGAACAAATGAGATTTCTGCAGAAAGACTTGATGGGGTGGGGGAGGGGAAAAAAAGAATTTTTAAGGATATGGAAGGGAAAAGGAGCTGTACATAAGTAATATGATGTGAAACCACAGGGAACAGCTATGAAAGGGGTGGTCTGGACAGGGCTAAATCCAAAGGAGGTGTGCTGGATAACTTTAGTGTCAACTTGACACACCTGGGTTGAGGGAGCCTCAATTGGGGAATTTCCTTCATTTGACTGGCCTGTGGCCATGTCCCCATGTCCGTGGGGCATTTTCTTGATTGTTGAGTGATATGGGAGGGCCCAGGCCACTGTGGGTGGTGTCACACCTAGGCAGGTGGGCTTGTGTTGCGTAAGAAAGCAGGCTGAGCAGGGCCAGGGGAGCAAGCCAGTAAACAGTGTTCCTCCATAGCCTGTCCTCCAATTCCTGCCTCCAGGTTCTTGGCCTGAAACAGATGTTTGTATATACCAAAAATTGGCACACAGCAAAGGTAGTATTTAAAATTAGTAACAAAGGACAAATTATTAGGCCAGGTATGGTGGCGAGTGCCTTTGATCCCAGTACTTGTGAGGCTGAGGCAGAAGGATGGTGAATTCAAGCCCCCATCAGGGTGACATCATAAACCCTGTCTCCAAAAAAAAAAGGAAAGAAAGTAACCAGTGGTGAGAGCAGTGGGGAAGGGAACACATGAGAAGCAAGTACAACACATATGTGCGAAGATGCCATGATGAAACCTATTACTTCATATGCTAACCTAATTTAAAAAAGAAAACTCAAACAAAAAAACACTTTTAACAGGATAAATTACTAATATAGTAGTAATATATTTTGTTGGCAAAAACAGACAAGTAAAAATAAATTCTATGTAAATAAAATTCTGTCTAAAAATAATCTCATAAAATAAAAAAGATTAGAAGAATCAAGAATGATGATGCATGTCTACAATCTCAGTTCTAAGGTCGCTGAACTGGAGAATCATGAGTTTAAAGTCAGCCTGGGCTACATAACAAATCTGAGATCAGCGGTAGCTACATAACAAAAGCCTGTCTTTAAAAAATATTTTTCAGGTGAGAAAAGTGAACCTAAGTAAAGCAAAACACCTTGAACTTACAGAAGGAAAAAGTCACAGATAAACAACATAAAAGTGTTCAGTTTTGGGCCAGTGAGATGGCTCAGTGGGTAAAGGTGCTTGCTGCTGAGTCTGATCCCCAGGACACAGATGGCAGAAGGGGAGAACCAACTCCTGCAAGTTGTTCTTTGACTTCCACAAGTGTGCCATGGCACACAGACACACAAATAAATAATAAATATAATAAAAGAATTTTTAAAGGTCAACTTCTTATTGTGTATACTTACATAATAATATAAAAAGATAAAACATATCGGGAGAAAAATATGGACTATACATAACTCAGAGTATGAGACTCTGAGTATCCTTCTCTATTCAAATCTACTGAACTCCAATCTCAGACAACCAGGAGCTGGAAGGCAAGTTCAGAAGAGGAGGGATACATTTTACTGAATCAGGATGACTCTGAAGGAGGGGAGTATAAGTACACACAGTAAGGAACTCTGCAAAGCATTTACTCAAATATATCTACCCTTAAGAGTCCAGACATAAAAAGTTCAAGACAGCCCAGTATACCTGTAAATAAAAGCTCCACTAAAATAAATATCAAAGACATGTGAGCAACTACAGAAACAATTAGTAGTCATCAACATGGACTAATTATAATGACCTATGTCCTCTTTTCTATTAATTGTAGTTGTCCAAAATACTGAAAAACTAGAAATAACAAGTGTCAGATGAATAATTATGAAAGCCTGTATTATAAATTACCATACAATTACTAAAAGAATGATGTAACTTATATGGACATTAAAAAGTCCTATAAAGTGAAAAAACCAAGTTATATTATCTGTAGCACGATCCACAACTGCAACTAAAGCGCTGGGGAAGTAGCTCAGTCGGTAGAATGCTTGCCTAGCAAAGCCCTGGTTCAGTTCCTAGCTCGACAAAACCGGGCAAGGTGCCATACACCTGTCATCCCAGCACTGGGGAAGCGAAGGCAGAAGGATCAGTTTGAGGTCAGCTTCAGCTATTTAGTGAGTTTGAGGTCAGCCTAAGATATATCAGGCTCTGCTCAAAAACAAACAAGGTCTGAAATACATCAATTTTTAATAATTTTGAGGGGACACAGGACTAAGAGTGGACTTTAAGAGGATTCTTTCCAGTGCACGCCACCACGCCTGGCAATTCTTTCACTTTTAACTGTATTTCAGGACTGTTTCTGAGTGGCATTATCAACTAGAAAAATGTCCTAAAGTATTTTAAAGTAAAATATTACAGATAACCAAGCTTCTGATAAATTAAAAATACAGTGAGTACCTCCAGATTGTCATGGCTTAGCAACTCTAATGGGCTGGCTATTTCTCATTTGGATGGCTTACTGGGAACTTTGGCCCAACATGTTAAAATCAAAACTCAAAATTTCAAATGTAGTTTCTACTGAATTGCTTTTCACCACTGTGAACTCAAAAACTCATTAAGATGAAGTATCCTCAGTGGAGGACTGTCTTCTGTAGACATGTCAAAATGATACAAAAGCTGACCAGGAGCTTCTATTGGCCAACTCAGGGAAAATTTAAACATCAAAACCTCATAATAATGTACAGAGTATTGAATAAAAAGATAATGTGTGACTCTATAACAATAAAAAAAAAGAAAAAGGCTTATTTTTTAATGTGTTGTTAGTCTGCATGTATCTATGAGTACCATGTGCATGCCTGGAGACCAGACCCAGAAGGCAGCACTGGATCCCCTGGAACTAGGTTACAGGTGGTTGTGAGCTACCATGTGAGTGGCTGGGAACTGAACCCAGGTCCACTTGAAGTGTAGCAAGTAATCTTAACCACTGAGCCATCTCTCTAGCCCCATAGCTCTTTTTCACAGAAGAAAATTAGTCAGTAAAATGTAGATGCAAATAGAGTAATCCCGTTTGCAGCCCTCACTTGAGTCACGCAACAACTGGATAGACATCACTGGAAGAAAGTTCTCCCTTGGTGGAAATTGATATTCACATGGCCTCACAGTATTCCTTCTCCCATCTTCCCATAAATTACAAGGAGAAAAGATACCTTTGCAACGGAAAAGTATGGCAACTATCACCTTATTCTAATGACCAAACTGTCATGAGAGTCCACAGCTGATAAAAGTGCAAAGACCATATAATTCTTTTGAGCTTTCTTGAGAAATGTGTTTAAAAAAAAAAAAAGAATATGATCATGAAGAAAAAAAAATCACTTAAGCCTGAACACACTGGGACATTCTACAAGAAAAGCAACCTTAGTCTGGGCATAGTGGCACATGCCTTTA